CGAGGTGATCGGAATACACTAGCTAGAACCAGAACTTTCCCGAACCAACGCGGTAATTCGAAATATTTAATTACGCCTAATGCCACCTAGCGGGTAGCTGAAAAAGATAGTACATAGTACCACTACTCGCCACTAGATGTCGTTAGTGTCACAATACACAATAATAATTGAAATACAAAAAAGTGTAAGTTTGCTCAGGTCACGCACTTTGCGACTATCCTAGCATAGAAATACAGTTAAGGGCAAAAATGGGCACTTGGAACAAACTGAAAAAATCATTATGGCCCGAAGGCTTCAAAGTTTGGAGACCCCTGATCTAGACTAAGATTTAGATTATTCAACTTAATATCTAATGAAATAGTTTTTCCTAAGACCTTTATCAGTTTCTTTAATACTATTTTATTAGTGTACATTGAATAAACTCACCCTGGAATGTCTGTAATCGTGTTCTCTAGGGTCTCGTGTCCTTGAGGAGTCGGTTTCTCTTCTATAAACTAATTCGTCGAATCTAACACGGTCGTCGACGGCTACTATTTCTCTTAATTCGGTCATAAGTGTATACTGCAATAAAAAGGACATTTCAATGATTTATCATTACACATAATGTAACAATAGGCATATCTACGTGTTGATGACAAAGTAATAGTGATTTTTCAATCCAGATATCGTTGTGAGTCTTCAAAGACGAGGATTTTTTTTTGGATATCTCATTCATTCTTGAGAAGTCAATGGAAATATCAGAATATCTATCACTCAGTTCTATGGATACGAGGACTTTTCAAAAAAGAGCCATGAAAACGTCCAACAAAAAAATATTTTCTTTTTCCTTCATCGATTCAAACACACTTTTTTTCCACTTTCCTATATCATCTCCAGCCCATCAATTCCAAGCTTTTCGGCCTTGGCAAGACATTTTATGTACATCACAATCCGTTTTGGTTTTTTGCAAAATTCATTAAAATATCTCCATAACATTGTAATTGTGTCGTTTCTAAATGTTAAATTTGTTTTGTGATATGATGCATGGAATTTCACCAGCGCTGACTTCGAATGGAAATACTAATGAAAGTTTGTGAAAGAAGTGAACATTCACTATGAAAAATTGTAGTTAGTCAGTTACCAACTGACCAATCTTCAAATTTATGTTCGATATTATAGGTAATAATAATTCCATGTGGTTTACTCTTTTGAGTTATTAACGAAAAATCGAATGCTTTCTTTTTTGCATCTCAATTCGTTATTATCAGTTGCAAATTTTGGTGCTATAAAAATCATCAATATACATTTTTGTGAACGTCATATCCAATCCAATGAGCGCTATGGCTTACTTTCAGGAGCTTAATGCCTGTATTACACGACTTTCGGCTAGTGAAAGAACTAGTCTGATACTTCTATCTGCTTTATTTTCAAGAAAATGTAAGTATATGCCATAATCAACTATCGTGATGAACTATGGAATAACAAAAGGATTATGTTTCATTTCTCTTTCGTCTTCAGTAGTGGCGTCAGATATTTACCTAGAGAAGGTTGCGATCAACTAAAGGTAAGCGGAGTATAATCTTGAAATCATATCCAGAGCTCATCATTCGCCACAGTGGATCAGTTAAGACCCTACTGAAGACAACATTTCAATTCCTAATTTCAGTATATGAAAGATATTTCTGAGAGAGAGTTGGTATGTTTGAGATAGCGCCATCTACTTGTGTCACTTCTAACTAGTATTACTTGGGCCATATGAAAAATCAATGTGGAAAGATTTTATCAGCAGCAATGTGATATGGAGGTAGAGTTCCGGAAATTGTGAATTTTTCATCGTTAGTCTCTCATTTTAATTTATCAAGTATTAGTAGTTTTCCCTTCTATTAATCTCAATTAGTATAACAATTGCATTTTTTTATATGCTGAAAAATAATTGAAAGCGTCATTCTGAATGCAATGGGATGTCACTCATATGTTCATAGTCTGGGTAACAAGATCCTTTTTTTGGAACTTCTGTCCAAAGGCATCGAAAACTATGACTCAGGGCTCATTCAATTCGAAATGATTTCTAGCAACTTTCTGAAAAATTTCAAGAGGGGCTCGAAAAAATTGCAAAAGTTATAAATAATTCAGTAAAAAAAGGGGGGTTTGGTTTTTTGCAAATATCTCGGAAAATATTGAANAAAAAATATGGAATCGAATGAAGAATTCATATACTGGGTGTTCTATTTAAAAAAATATAACTTTGGTTCTATATGATTGTAAAAAAAAACGAGCAGTTCGAAAAATTGTTTCCTCTGATAGAAATGGACTTAGGGAATCTTGTTGACTCACCCTGTATACGCAATTGAGATACAATCCCAATCACACACATACCTGAGGATCAACTTTAATCCCTTAGGAAGGTTTATTTCACTGCAGGTAAATAAATCCTTATTTAAATCTCCTTGACAAATTCCAAATAAATCAGTTATCAGTTCGATATCGAGATTTCTAAGATGATGTCGAAATTAAAAGTCAAAATATGTGATCCAAGGTGAAATACCGAATAATAATAATAATAATGTTTATTTTCCAACAATTTACAATGGGCATTGAAATAGTAGATAGAAATAAAACAGAAAATAAACATGATAAATCACTGAAGCTTGAAGCTTGTGTGTGATGATACCTTGATATAATAAACCATAAAATAGTGGTCATGAAGGAAAATAGTGCATGTGCAAACATTATTTTCACTTACGTGCTTAGTTGAGTCTTTTTCAATTATATTGATTCGGTCTAGTCCGGAATACAGTCAAAATTGAGAATTCAAAGTGAAATTTATCAGTCGAAATTCCTAGATTAAAATTGGAATTCTGAGTATAGTAAAGTCGGAACTCCGATTTTAAAGTGAACTTTTCGACTAACGTCTAAAATATGAGGAATTTCGAGTTTGAATTACTAGTTTATAGTCAGAATTCCGTGAGCAAAGACGCGATTTACTGATATGAAGTCTAAATTCCTAGATTCAAGTGGAAATTGTGAGTTTAAAGTGGAATTCACGGGTTTATAGTCAGAATGCAAAGTCTAATATCAGAATCCGTAGTCGGAAAATCGAATGTGAAGTGAAATTCAATCGTTCAAAGTCAAAATTCCGAGATTGGTCGAAATATCGACTTTAAAACGCAATTCCGCTTTTAACACGGAATTCACAATTCGTATTACCAACTCCAAATATGTCCTTATCTTCAACGTCCATGTTATTTCATGTTCAGTAAACTTTTCTATTCATACCCAAGGTGACATGGATAAACAAAATCAATGTCAATGCTGACTTATGCTGAATCGACATCCGGCAATACGCAGTTTCCAAACGACGACACAATGGACTTTTATTTTCTCTGTTTCAATTCCAGACTATGTGATCATTCATTTTCTTACAAATACGTCCTGCGTGGCGTAAAGAATCAGTTATAGTTGCAATACAGTTCCGTTCAAGTTACGTTTATATTTACAATTGTATTTTGCATTCTGTAAGTAAAGGAAACACTTCACTGTTTCTCTTTTTCAAATAAATAATTTTATGAAAACTTATACTTCCAAAGTGAGAGATACAGACAGAGATACATCCGTGACGATATCCATTATTGATTTCAATTTTCAGTTAGTAGTGGACGAGACCTGTTGGTACATTCATTTTCTCAAACAGTTTCTGCTGTTTAGTTTGTTGGTGAGAGACATGAAAGTTGAAAGTTTTTTGCGTTTTCAGAATAACTTCCGATCCCAAAGAAATGTGACAGTTTGTAAAGTCGAAAAAGAGCAGTCACACCACAATCAATGCTGTAAAAAATTCAGGCAAAATACTTTCAACAGACGGACAGGAGATATGTGACATTTTGTCAGAGTTTTTCGCTACTTCATTTAACCCAGCAATAGGTATGAATCAACCAGATACTAATAGATCAACCGATAACTTTACATTCAGGCCTTATCACATCCCTCAAACACCATTCTGAAAAAGATACTGGATCTTCCTCAGAAATCACCTGGCGTGTACCGTATACTCACTTGCTTATTAAAACAATGAGCTCAAGAAATGTCTCATATCCAATTTATTTTATTCAATAAGTCTATTAAAGAAGGCTCTTTCCCAAAAATATGGAAACCTGCACTTGAAGTTCCCATCTTCAAAAGTTTTATTATTTATTGACTGCGAAGAGTTCATTTATATTAAATAACTCAAAGACAACCATTTTTCCTTGTTTTTGTTTTTTTAATGGTAAGTTTTATACGTCGGCAATACACAATTTTTGTTTGCATTTATGCAAATATTACGTATTTTACTTTAAATAGGAGCGGTACCCCAAAAAATTTTCGCGCCTCCGGCAGACTTTTCTGTGTGTGTATAGTCTATATGACTTAAGCCTCCCCTGTTCTCCAATGCACGGGCCGTCACCGCATCATCAGCATATTTTTGTAAAGAGTTTATTTCTTAATCAATTGAATTTTTTTCTCCGGTAGTTTTCCACATTTTTTGTATGGAGTTGGAAAAGTAGAAAGTCAAAAATATTGGTTTCTCAAGAACAAATCAAAGCAAAAAGAAGAATCAATGGAATTTTTTTGTCATTTTACCTTATCAGGAGTGTTTAGGAGTTCAGTCATGACTTGTACGAAGGCATCTATGGTCATATGTCGGGCTGCGTATTCGTCCGTATAGTAGCACATATTAGTGAATTCCGGACGAGTTAGGATGATTCTTGCTTTTTCCTCTACCATTTGCAAGGCGGCTGCCCACTTCCGCGTTGTTTGCGCAGCTCGGCTCCTGAAACGAGTGAATCATCCACTAAAGAAGTTGAAAGGTTCTTGACGTTTACAATATCTTTTTTAAGAAATCTGAATAATCTCTCATTCAGGTATTTTAACTCACCCTGGACTGCAGAGGTCCCAGTCTCTATCATAGGCAGTGCACGAATGTGGTACTTTTCCTACATCTCTAACAAGCAGAGACATACGTTTGTGGTATTTCAGTTGAGCCACAGCCTCGTCGTGGGTCACATCCATGAAAGATTGCCCGTTCACTTCCAGAATCTGGTCTCCAACCTTAAACAAACAAGTAACTCAGATAAGCAATGATATTAAAAAATGATGATAGCTTTTAAATTATGGTTCCCGAAACATTTCTTCCTTTCCGTTATTTACGGCCAGCTGCTTACGGGAAAGTGATAATACTGATAATCATGAAGCAGCTTGTTGAAAACATAAAAAATACAAAGAGAAATGAGAAAAAAGTAACAGGAAATCCAGGTACTCATTTACGAAGTCTAGCTCAGCGCTACTCAAATTCAACTAACAAGCACCACTCCATAATAAATGCGACATTATAGAAATAAAAAAAAATTACAGTGATGGTACCATAACAAGAGAAAGGTAAATAAATTTTTTTTTTGGTAATTTTACCCTAGATATACAGCGTGACTCACGGTCGATGGTAGGTTAGACGTTTCTGGAAAACGCAAAGCATGATTTTTCTGAAAATTTCACCTCTCACATTTCCTTACCTGTTCTATCGATCTAAAATATTTTCAGCATTGCGACGTTGCCACTTCTATCAAAAAGTCCTAGCAATTATATTTTTTTAAAT